GGGTTCAATCTTCAGCACCACATAAAAAAGTAAAATAAAGATATTGTGTGAATCTACAACTAAAAAAAAAAAAAAAAAGGAATTGCATTTGAAAAGTAATTCTTATAAAACTATAAATGAGTATCTGTTTCTTTCTGAGTTCAGCCTGAAGTTGAAATTTAAGGGTGAGAAGATGAAAATTCAGAGTAATATAAATAATCAAATGGATCTTGTTTTTTTGTTTTAAAAAATAATTGCTTACTCATTAAAATTATTTCTGTTTTGAAATTGTTAGGAATTTTCCTTGTTAATTGTTTTTGGTGCCGGGATATACTTAACAGTAGGAAGACTTTATTAAAACTTTATATATATATATATTTACTGTAGGGCCATTCTTCTGTTCACAATACTATGTAGATTTGGTGGTAAATTATATTTCACTGTATACTTGGCTACATCCAAAGTGCTATATTTGAATTTTTTTCCTCCAGATAAACTATTATTATTGGTACTGGGGATTGAACTCAGGCTTTATGCATGTTGAACATGTGCTCCACCACTGAGCTACATCCCCAGCCCCTAAACTGTTACTTTAAATGTCAAGTTAAATTTTTTGAGTACAATGAGTAAAAATGAAGAAGTATTAGTATACAATAATAATGTGATGATAATCCAGCCATTTTTATTTTGGAAGGATGAACAAATAAGTGTACTTTATTATTATGGTACTTTTTTTTTTTAAAAAAAAGAGAGAGAGAGAGAATTTTTTAATATTTATTTTTTAGTTTTCGGCGGACACAACATCTTTGTATGTGGTGCTGAGGATCGAACCCGGGCCGCACGCATGCCAGGCGAGCGGGCTACCGCTTGAGCCACATCCCCAGCCCTATGGTACTATTTTTAAGTTTGGTAATATTGATAAAATTAGAGTTAACATTATGTACAAGATGTAGCATTTTTCTTTTTTTTTTTTTTTTGCTAGAATTTAATTGAAATATATCCTGTGTTTTATAGTTTTCATACTTAACACTATTGAATTTCCTTGAAAACTGGATAATATGTAGGTAATTTTAACACTTGAGTACTGAGTGTGTAATGCTTAAGTTTTATTTAATGATCACTCAAGTTTGTTTTTCAAAAGTATTAAAGTAAAAGGCGTATACTGCATTTGAGTGCTGAATCATTGTAGTCATCATATGTTTTTGTATTTGGGAAGATCCCCACTGGGTTTATAGTAGAAATAGAGAAAATCTATCTGCTTTTTCTTCCATCTCAGTTTTTTTGTCTACCCTCTCATTGCCTATAAAATAATTCTCTGGTTAGTCATCCCTTTCCTGTCTTTAAGTTGATAAAAATTCAAACTTTTGATGCTCTGCTCTCAAAATCACCTTGCCCGGTACATCTTTGTGGCCTGGTAAAAGGTGTGAGAGTGTTATGGTCCACCTAAATAGGCTTGAGAAGAAGGCAAGTGTATATAATCTACTTCTGAGACTACAGAATTTGAGTATATGAAAATTAGTGTTAATGTTTATTCTAGTCAGGGAAAGCTGACAGGAATGAGCAGAAGTAGAGCATACTTATCAGACTTTGCAGGAATAGGATTGCCCATTTCCCTTGGTCTGTCTGGAATCCTTACTGCCAGTTCTTTGTTGGGATCATCCATTAGCCTTTATGGTGTTGGAAATGGGTCACTGTGATCTCTTTTCTTAAAATATATTGATATTGCCACAGATACCAGGAAATTATACATAAACCAGTTAAAATAGTTTTCATTACATAAACTTAAAAATAAGATATGACTTGAAATTAAATAATTAATTTGTTTACTTTTGTTATTTGTGTGGGTTATACAATCTTTTATCCTTGTTCCACCCCCACCACTCATATTTTCTATAGAGCCTTAGGGCCTGTTTTTCCCCTTCCCTTTAACAAATATGGTTAAAACTTCAGGGAACAGAGTATTGGGTTTAATACCATGTGATAAATCCTCAGATAAACCTGATTGTTTTAGGAGAATGGGGGAAAGTTATGCAAGAAGTTATATCAGATTTAATTAAAAAGTAATTTCCAGGATATGGATTGTGGTTGGTATACTTCCAGGTTAATCTCCATTTCCTACAACATTGTACAGAAGTCACTGATCACAGTGACCCTCAGGTACTTCCCTGTTCTTCAAAGGAGGATTAAAACGTGTGTACCCTATGACTCAAGGGAGAAAGGTTTTTTTTTTTTTTTTTTTGGTGGTGCTGGGGATTGAACCCAGGGCCTTGTGCATGAAAGGCAAGCACTCAACCTAGTGAGTTTATGTTTTAAAAAATTTTCAGTAATAAAAGTTGAAATCTGAATGACTGTCTTGTTTACTTTCAGCCAACTAACTTTCAGAAATTTAAGTTATCTTCCTTGGCATTTGATTTCCTTATGAGTTTATTGTCAATTTGAATAATAAATCTCAAAGATGAGTTTTCAAAAGGGAAGAATCCTAGATCTTTGAAAGATGTGTTATGTAATGGGATATGACTTACCTGGCGTCCAGAGGTTGTAGTTATTATTAGTAGTAAAGTAGCAAATTAATAAATTTATAGTCTTTAATATTAATGGAGAACAGAGGTTGAGATTTTAATCTAATTCTAAACAGTAACATATTTACAAAGAGGAGTGTGACTGCCAGATCAGACTACTGATCATAAACATATTTCATGTTGCATGAGATACAATTGTTTTCATTGGATTTTGCGTAGTCTTATTTTTACTCTGATGAGTAGAAATATATCTTTGGTAGTCATTCTTGAGATTGTCAAAAGCTTTATAAATATGTACAGCAAGCAGTGTACTTTATGGAAAAGTTACTGGGGCTAGATGTTAGCTCAGTGGTAGAGCACTTGACTAATATGCATGAATCCTAATTTCAGTCCCCAGTTCTGGGGGAAGAATGATGATTAAGACCTGGATTTGTGGGCTTAGGTCGTAGCTCAGTGGTAGAGCGCTCACCTAGCACATGCGAGACCCTGGGTTCCATCAGCATCACATAAAAATAAATAAAATGAAAGATATTGTATCCATCTACAACTAAAATAAAATAAAGAGACTTGGATTTGTGAGAATTCTTTGTTTTTGAATTATTCCTACTAAAAACCTGGGTGGGTTTTTTGTTTTTTTTGTGGCACTGGGGATTGAACTCAGGCACTTTACCACTGAGTCACACATTCCCAGTTCGATCTGGGTGTTTTTGTGAACAAATACTTCAACCTGGATTCTTTTTCACGTGTCCAGACAGGATTAAGATTTGTGGTCTCCGATGGGGCTGGGGATGTGGCTCAAGTGGTTAGTGCGCTTGCCTAGGATGTGTGAGGCACTGGGTTTGATTCTCAGCACCACATAAAAAAAAATAAAAAAATAAAGATATTGTGTTCACCTAAAACTAAAAAATAAATATTAAAAAAAAAAGATTTATTGTCTCGGGTTAGGGTTGTAGCTCAGTGGTAGCGTGTGTGAAGCACTGGGTTTGATTCTCAGCTACACATACAAGTAAATAAGTAAAGGTCAATCAACTTAAAAAAAGAAAAAGATTTGTAATCTCTAGGTTTGGACCATACTAGAGATTTTGGGGTTCTTAGATGTGTTGCTTAAACTATAGCATACATCTTGGGGGTAGGGTTGTGGTTCATTGGCAGAGTGATTGCCTCTCACATGTGAGGTACTGGGATCGATCTTCAGCATCACATAAAATAATAACAAAATATAGATTAAAAATAAGATACCGCTTAATGTTTGCCTTACCTCAAGTACTTTTTTCCCTTTGTTTATCATAAGTAGAATAGAAGAACTGGCACTTGGTGTGGGGTAGGAGGGGCAAGAGTAATAGTGGGGAAGCTGAAGGTTGTATAAGGTGCACAGGGGAACCAGTCTGGGTGGAAGAGGAGAGAGAATGTATTTTTTTTAACAGATTTTTTTTGGTACTGGGGATTGAACTCAGGGGCACCGAGCCACATCCCCGCCCTATTTTGTATTTTATTTAGGGATAATGTGTCACTGAGTTGCTCAGCTCCTTCCTTTCGCTGATACTGGCTTTGAACTCATGATCCTCCTGTCTCTGCCTCACTAGCTGCTGAGATTACAGGCGTGACCCACCAGGCCAGCTACAGAGAATATTTTTGAGCTGGATCTTGAGGGAGAAGACATGGTTCTTGTTACTTGGGAAGAGTTGGGGGCCTAATTGCCCTGCCTCACTTTGTTTTAGGTTCAGGTCAGATGAGAAAAGAAACTTTGTCAGTGTGGGCAAGTGGAAGGTTTGCATTTATAAGGGCTGTTTGGAGAGAGCAAGAAGCCTGTGTTGGGTTCTTGCTAAGGCAAAGTGGTGATTCCTTAAGGGGAAACAGAAGAAAAATCCTATTAAAAAAGTAGCTCAGTGGGAAGGATGCTTCCCATTTGGATGAAGATATGAGGAAATTCTAGCCATCAATTTTATGGTTCCTGGTAGAAATGTAGGAATGTCTGTTACTTTTATTAGCCAAAAATGACAAGAAAACAAGGTACACAGTGCTGGGGGAGCATGGTACCATAGCAAATACCTGATTAACAAATACCTGTTAATCATTGTTCCCCAGAGTCATTTGACTGATTAGCTAGATAGTGTCACCTTCTCTCCCACCACTCTTTATTTATTCCTGTGGAATTTTGTTTTGGGTCAGTGTTTTAGGATTTGCTGCACTTCCCTTCTAGAGCTTTTATGCATGCTCTCAGGACGCACTATAGGAGAGATGCTGTGGTTGAGCTTCCTTTGCCTGTGTGCTAATGTCTTTTCCCAAAACTACCAAATTTCATGTTTCAGAATTTTAAAATTTTATCTTTTTCAGAATTTAAAAAAATGTCTTTCTGATTAATAATTATCAAAAATAAGTTTTAAGTTAAAATGGTTTAATTTTTTATGAGGAAAAATATTACTAAGAATAATTAATCATAAAGAAATACTTAGTCTTATGTAATTTTACATAGAGTTTCAGTTTATTTTCTGGTTTTAATAGAACAAGTTGAAATCATCGCAGAAGGATAAAGTTCGTCAGTTTATGATCTTCACACAATCTAGTGAAAAAACAGCAGTAAGTTGTCTTTCTCAAAATGACTGGAAGTTAGATGTTGCAACAGATAATTTTTTCCAAAATCCTGAACTTTATATACGAGAGAGTGTAAAAGGATCATTGGACAGAAAGAAGTTAGAACAACTATACAATAGATATAAAGGTGAGTGTCTGCTTGTGACTTTAAATATTTTGATCCAAGTTTTCCAAAGTTCTGGGCTTGTTGTGAGAAATCAGATACTGCACAGAATATAAATTGAGTGGGTATGTTTAGAACTCTGCAGGTCTTGAAATTATTTGAGAGATCTGAGAGGAGGAATTATTTTCCTCTTTTCACTAAAATTTGAACTATCTGATTTTTTGTTTTTTTTTTTTTTTTAACAGTTTTTTTTTTTTTTTTTGGTGGGGGTACTGGGGATTGAACTCAGGGGCACTCGACCACCGAGCAACATCTTTTCTTTCCTGTTTTCCAATCTGAGAAAGGAAAACAAGGGGCCATTTTTTCTTCCCCTCTTTTTGTGAAGCTCAGCTGAGCCATATTTTAAGAAAACTTACAGAACAGCTTTTTAAAGAATTATAAGTAATATGTACTTTTAAAAAAGTTAAGTGGGGGTGGGTGTGGGTAGGTTTGGGTTGTATGTCAGTGGCAGAGCACTTGCCTAGCATGTGTGAAGCACTGGGTTTGATTCTCAGCACCACGAATCAATAAATAAAATAAAGGTCCATTAACAACTAAAAAATATTAAAAAAAAAAAAAAAAAGTTAAACAGGGCTAGGAATGTAACTCAGTGATAGAGTGCTTGCCTAGCTAGCATGTACCAGTCCCTGGGTTTGATCTTCAGCATTGCAAGGGGAAAAACATTTAATAGCATATAATAGGTGAATAAATAAAAGAAAAAATAATAGTTTATCTTTTCCTTATTCTTCTGATATAACCAGTATTTAATAGCCTTGTATGGATCCCTTCTGAATCTTCTGTGTTTATGCATAAATATGTGTACAGTTTCAAAATTTCTCTAAAAAAAGTGAGATATGATATGTAAAATTCATGTTTCATAGTCAAAAGGATGTGCATGGTTTTTATTGTTGAGTTATTGCCAGGTTCATTTTAGGAAGATGTTAACAAATTGTTTTTTTTTTTGGTACTGGGGATTGAACCCAGAAGCACTGAGCCACTGAGCCACATCAGAGACAGGGCCTCACTTGAGTTGCTGAATGCCTCATTAATCTGCTGAGGATTGCTTTGAACTTGCAATCCTCCTGCCTCAGACTCCCTAGTTTCTGGGGTTACACATGTGCATCACTGTCTGGCAGCAAGTCATATTTGATGGCAGTGTAAGAGTGCCTCTTTCTCCTTCTATTATTTAGAAATTTTCCTTATATTGTTGAGATTAAGATTGAGGGCTGGTATCGTGGCTCACTGGTAGGGCACTTGCCTTAGCACATGTGAGGAACTTGGTTCAATCCTCAGCACCACATTAAAATAAATAAAAGTAAAAAAAAAAAAAAGATTGTATAGTTTATAGTTTTTCTGGTACTCAGAAGTGATTGTTGTGATAAAATGAACATTAAGAAAAAAAGAATTTCTATATGTAGCACTGTTAATTTAGAATGTTTGCTTAAGCAAAATATGGATAATTCTGAATAGAATCCTTTGCCCATGTGTAGGAATATCTGATTTTCTGAAAGTGTATAGGTATTGGCTATTTTTCACACGGATGAGTGAGACTTGAAAATTAAGTGCACATCTGCATATATACTCATACTCTTGTACACTTTAATAATGCTGTGTGGGGGGGACCTTAAAGGCTTTAAATTTTGAGAAAACAGTAATGTTGCTTCATGTCTTTTGGTTTTTAGAATGGAACATAAAGTATTACCTTTTTCAGTTTTAGGAATACAGCACAAGAAATTATGGCACTAACTTGATATTGCATTGTTATTTTTAAAGATCCTCAAGATGAAAATAAAATTGGAATAGATGGTATACAGCAGTTCTGTGATGACCTCGCACTTGATCCAGCCAGCATTAGTGTGTTGATCATTGCATGGAAGTTCAGAGCAGCAACACAGTGCGAGTTCTCCAAACAGGAGTTCATGGATGGCATGACAGAATTAGGGTGAGTATAGAACCACCATAGAAAATTAGATATAGCACGTGAGGATTCAGGAACTGAATTATGTCATCAATTTTTAAATGTAAATTTAAAAGTTTTACTGGCTCACAAAGATTAGTTTAAGTAGAAATAGGCTAACAGGCTATTTATGTTAAGTAGTGTTCTGGGCTTGCTGAGTTACCTGTTTAATTACTATCACCTATTTGATTTGCATTATATTTTCATCATTTGTTTCTAAGAGAGGTTCACTAGTATTAAAAGTATTATGCATCAATATTTAACATGGAAAAGTGAAATGAGCAAGTTTGTAAGTTATTTACTAGTGTGAGGCTGTAAACTCTGAATTGACAAAATTTTAGAATTTAAAAACTGGAAGGTAGAAGTTACTGAGTGCCTTTTGTTCCACTTTTGCCTTCACAGATGATTAGCTGAATGTCTTTGAATAGATTGAAAAGTTATAGATGAAGGTTTTAATTATGACCTCCAGTTGCTTAATGAGATTATAAAAGTATCCAGTCATAGGTAGATAACAGGCTGCCCTTTGTGTTTTCAGTGGCCCACTGTTTAAATAATAGCTAGGGTTAATTGAGCATTATTTTGTTTTAGTAACTGTGTTAAGTACTTTACCTGCCTCTTCACAACAACTTTGTGAGAGAAGTAGTGTTTTTAAACCTCATTTTGGAGATGAAGAAAGTGGGGTTCAAAGAAATTACAGAATTAGGAAATAATAGAATCAGGATTGAACCCAGACACTCTTGAGCTTGAGGGCCATCATAATTAGCAAGGTGCAGTCAAGACACAAAAAACACATCAGTAATTTGACCAGGAAAATTTAATGAACTATTTTACTATGTAAAAGAAAATTCTGGTTATAACAGAAGTAGCAATATCTGTTATCACCCCTGTGACTGAGTGAAATGAATAAACCACAAAGGAATTTAGGAACTGAAGAGATAACCAGCAAGACAGTGAGGCAGAGGGCGTGGCTGCTGTAGGAACAGGATGCCTGTGATGAAGCTTCCACTCTGGTGGATAAAAAACTGGTTAGAGGCCACTTACTGAGGAGCTATGAGAGTTGCCACTGCTGGTGGGCACCGCTGGGACCTCTTCACACACTACAATCATTGCCCTCTGCAGAAAACAAGCTCTAGGGTAAAAGTTCCTTCTTCCTCTTCTGACCTTATTGCCCTCTCTTGGTAGAGCCTAACATGAGCAAGCTGGTGAGAGAAATGAAGTCACAGTTTGTAACCCACTCTTACAAAGTTGAACAGAGAAGGGTGGGTTTAAATCTGAGAGATAATAAATTTAATTACTTGACCAAACACTTTCTAAAGCCAAAGTTACCCATTCTTTCCTTCTTTCTTTTTAAAGCTGTAGATGGATACAACATCTTTCTTTCTTTCTTTCTTTAGTGGTGCTGAGGATTGAACCCAGCACCCCACATGTGCTAGGCAAGCACTCTACCACTGAGCCATAACCCCAGCTCAGCCAGCTCTTTCTTGAATTTGCTGGAATTATTGATGCCAAGGACAGATTTCGTTAGAAGTTAAAGAAACCATGTTTTTATTTTTCATTTGAAACTGAATTCATATAAAATGTGATGAACTTCCAAATGTGGATTGATTTGTGGAGTTTTTAAGAAATGGAATATTTCTATCATAAAACTATTATGAGGAAGATAAGGCTTGGTACTTGAACCTTTTTAGCTCTTTGAAATTTGAATATTTTGCCAATGTAGAAAAAAGTAATTGATTTGAGATAATTCAGTTGGAGGTTGTAGGGTTTTCAGCTGATGTTTTTTATTTGTACTTTCTATATAATAGGAAACAAGTTTTCAAAAGGAATGCTTCCTTACCTAGGCAAGAGACCATGTTTCCAGTTAGTTTGGAAGCTAGACATGTGTTTGATTACCATGTAAGCAGTGTCTAATATGGTTTAAGATATGTTTTGTAATGCTGTACATTTTTTACCTAGTCACCAAAACTGACTTCTAAAAGTCAGTGTATTAATAGTTCAGTGAATTATGTGATTAAAAGTAATAACTCATTTCCTTCAAAAATAGTAATTGTTTCTAACATTTCATCACTCTCAACCTCCTCTTCCCTCAGCTAACCTCATATAAGAGTTCCCTGCACCATGTGTGGTTTTGGTTTTTGAGGTTTCTGTGACTCATGATCAACCCTGGTCCCAAATTATTAATTGGGAAATTTTAGAAATAAACAATTCAGAAATTTTAAGTTGTGCATCATTCTTAGTAGTGTGATGGAAATCTCGTGCCGTCCTGTCCTGCTTGGGATGTGAGTCTTCCTTTGTCCAGTGTATCCACATTGTATTTACTACCTATCTGTTAGTCACTTAGTAGCTGTCTCAGTTATCATATCAGTGCTTATATTCAAGCAATCCTTATTTTACTTAATAATATTCCCAAAGTACAAGAGTAGTGATGTTGGCAATTTGTTTATGCCAAAGGAAAGCTGCTTCCTTTAAGTGAAATGCTTCCTTTAAGTGAAAAAGTGTAAGATATTTTGAGAGTGGGAGAGTCCATATTTACATAAATTTTATTGTAGTATGATTATTTTATTATTAATATCTTACTATGCCTAATGTATAAGTTAAACTTTATCATGGTTATGTATGTATATGGAAAAGCTTAGTGTATGTAGGATTTGGTATTGTCCAAGCTTTCAGGCATCCACTGGAAGTCTTGGAATGTATCCCCACGGATAAGGGAGGACTATGTACTTATTTATGTCATGTAAAAAGATGAAATTCCATCTCTCTGATATTTTAAAAAAGAAGTCTTAGGAAATATAAGCCCTCATAGGAATAAATAAGTGAAATTTTAAATTTATAGTGAAAAAGTTAACCTTTATAAACTTAATTTTATAATGTAGATGTGACAGCATAGAAAAACTAAAGGCCCAAATACCCAAGATGGAACAAGAATTGAAAGAACCAGGACGATTTAAGGATTTTTACCAGTTTACTTTTAATTTTGCAAAGAATCCAGGACAAAAAGGATTAGGTAAGAATATTTTAAAGTTATATTTGATGTTTCAAATATATTTAAATACATTGATAGTATCACTTTGTAATAGGAAGTTATGTGTTTTGATCATAAAGTCATGAAAATACCAGCTTTAGGGAAAAAAAATGAGAAACTGAACTTTTAGTCAGAAAATACTGTGCACATTGGATAATAGGATATCATGAACCACTGATATTTAAAAAAATAAAAAATTATACAGAAAATAAATAATTGTTAAAATTCCACTGACAATTATTTATGTATTATTTCATTCATTCAAGACATTTTAGAATCTTAGGACCTATAGAAATAGTATTGTTAAGGTTTTTGAGTAATTGAATACCCAATAACTTTTGTGTGTGTGTAGTGCTTGGGATTGAATTTAGGGCATGCACATACTTAGGCTAGTGTTCTACCACCGAGCTGTATTCCCAGCCTAACTTTATTCTTTTTATTTGAAAACTGTAAGAAAGGATGAAAAAGAAAATGATTAACATGTATAATTGTATTATAAGGGAAACACTTTGTTTGTTAACAGTGAAGATCAACTTAACCACTCAACCACATAATCTCATTAATAGATCAACTGATTTATACTAAATATAATATCCATACATTTGCTTTTGGGACAGACAGCTAGGAGATATGAAAGTAAAATATATATTTTAATTTACAAATTACCTAAAAGATTAGATAGTAGCAGGTAATACAAAATAAATGGGTATACAGGTTTTAGAGAAAGAAATGAATAAAAGCAGGAGTGCTTGGGAAATGCTTTCTGAACAGGGGGATATGAACTCCTCAAAGATTTGATATTTGACTTGACATGGGAAGATAAAAGGTATTTCATTGAGAGGATAGTTATTAATGAGGATCTACAACCTTAGAAATAAGGTTGGCTTGTCTGTAGTTTGATTTCAGTGGGAATTCTTTGTTGGAAATTTAATTGGCGAGACACAATAAGACTAACTAAATAACCACAGGCTTCTTTTGAAAATGGGCCAAAAGGTTTAAATTGGAGAATGTGGGAAATGTGAACCTACTGAAGATTTTGATGATAGCAGTAACTTCTATTTAATGTGAGCCTTCAGTGTGCCTGGCAGTGTGCTAAACGCTTTACACATAGCTGATGTTTGTCATGTTAAATGTAATGTTTAATAATTTTATGAGTTATTTATTCTTTGATTTAATAGTTTGTCAACTTCTGAGTGCCCAATATGCAGAAATAGAGTACTATGAGTCTTTTTTTTTTTTTTAAATAGTTTTTAGTTGTTAATGGACCTTTATTTTATTTGTTTATATGTGGTGCTGAGAATCGAACCCAGTGCCTCACACATGCTAGGCAAGCGCTCTACCACTGAGCCACTACCCAGCCCTTATGAGTCATTTTTTAATCCTTAATTAGCAGATGAGGAAATTGAGGCACAGGAAGGTTAAATAACTTTAACCATTGATGGAAATGAGTTTTTGTTTTGTTTTATTGGGAATTGAACCCAGGACCTCATCCACAGTAGGCAAGCACTCTACTGAGCCCTAATGTGGTCTTTCGTACTAATCCTTTGTTATATTTTAGAGTGGGGGCAGGGAAATGTTCAGAAATGTATTATATAAGTAGGGATTAGACTAAGGAAGTGATTGAAAGAGAGGAGGGGCTGGGGTGGTGGCTTAGTGGTAGAGTGCTTGTCTAGCATCCACAAAGTACTGGGTTTGATCCTCAGCACCACATAAATGTAAAATAAAGATATTGTGTCCACCTAAAACTAAAAAAGTAAAAATTTTTTTAAAAAAAAAGAGAGGAAAGGATAAATGTATAACATTTATTTATATTGGAGAATATAAACATGACTGAATTGATTAAAGGTTTATAAAATATCTTTAATCAAACTTTTAATGAAGCCTCCTTTCTGATTATTCAGTATATCACTTTTTAAAACAGATTTTTACTTTTAATTCACAGGTGGTAATTGTGTATTTTTATAAGATGCAGTGTGACATTTTAATACATTTCACTATATAATGTATAGTGATCAAACCAAGATAGATTTTATTCTTATAGGAAAAAAAATCCTCATTTTTCAGGCAAAATAAGCTGGGATATCTAGGGTTAGTTTCTCTTTATCTGTAGGCACCAGTTAACAGGCTATTTTTTCTAGCTTCTTCTTTTCCTTCTTGCAAATAAAAATCTGTTAAAGCCTCAGAATTTGTGTTAAAAGAATTATTTTGTGGTCTCTAGAAATGTAGCACAGTATTTTGGTAATATTAAACATAGAATTGTTAATGTCAAAGTAAAAGAACTGAATCTATTTCTTCATTATATCTCTACCTCTTACAGGAGCACAAAAAGTGGTTCTGGCTGAATATGTAGTTTTGATGTTGAAGCTAAGTTTTTTTTTTAATTATATGGTAAAAATAAAGCAAAATTAAATTTTTATAGATGTTGAATATTTTAATTGGAATTTTAGATTACAGGAAAAGTTGAAAAAGATTATGTGAAGATGCTAGATTTAAAAATTTAACTATCTAGTAAGTATTGTACTTAAGAAAAAAGTGTAATAAGAGTTAAAGAATTTATCTTTTGCAAGGTGAAGAGAATTCTGGAGATTGCACAGAAGTATGAGTGTTCTTAACATTGATGAACTGTATGCTTAAAAAGGTTAAAGTTGTTGGGCTGGGGGTGTGGCTCAAGTTGTAGTGCGATCGCCTGGCATGCGTGCGGCCTGGGTTCGATCCTCAGCACCACATACAAACAAAGATGTTGTGTCCACCAAAAATTAAAAAATAAATATTAAAATTCTCTCTCTTTTTTAAAAAAAAGGTTAAAATTGTAAATTTTATGTTTTGTGTATTTAATCACATAGAAGAGGTGAGGCCCAAAGCAAATTGGCAAAGAGTGATAGTAAAATTAAGAAAACCCTAAAACACTGAATGTATAATGGCATAGTAAATCCTAATGTACAGTGTATTCTTAATAATAATAGACTTATATTAATTTATCAATTGCATAAAATATACCACACTAAAACAAGATGTTAAAAATAGTGAGGCTGGGTGCGTTGGCTCGCGCATGTAATCCCAACTGCTCTGCAGGCTGAGACAGGAGGATCACAGGTTTCAAAGCCAGCCTCAGTAACAGCAAGGCCATTAAGCAACTCCGTGAGACCATGTCTCTAAGTAAAATGCAAAATAAGGCTGGAGATGTGGCTCTCAGTTCAATCACATTTACCCCCCACCCTAAAAAATAGAATAGGGCTGGGGGGTGTGGCTTAGTGGTAGAGCACTTGAGTAGCTTGCACAAGACCTTGGGTTTGAACTCTTAAGCATAACACACACACACACACACACACCCATACACACACACACACACACAGGTGGGAATTGAGGGGTGGGGAAGGAAAGGAGAGTATATGGGAACCTCTATAAAAGAACCTCTGTACTTTTTGCTCAGTTTCTCTTAAAACTAAAACACACAATGTATTATTTAAAAAAGAAAGCACAATAAAATAAAAGACATAGTTTCTCTTGTTTTGCATTGGTGTTAGGTGTCACTAAGTATAATGATTTGCTTAGTTGAAAAGCTTAATTAAGAAGGAAACAGTTTTCTTGACAACTTTGCAAGAGTTCACAGGGTTCTTAGATTACAAAATTTTGCATAGAGGAATTTTAAAAATCATAGAAGAGGTGAGGCCCAAAGCAAATTGGCAGAGTGATAGTAACAGCATTGTGGTTTGTTTATAAATAGCTATGTTGGTGCCGGGTGGGGTGAGTTCAAAACCAGTCTCAGCAATGGCGAGGTGCTAAGTGAGATACCCTGTCTCTAAATAAAATACAAAATAGGGTTGGAATGTGGCTCAGTAGTTGAGTACCCCTGAGTTCAATCCCTGGTACCCCCCCCCCCCC